CGACGACCTGTTTGCTCTCAGCCCTGGCATCACCCAAACCTCAACTGGATGGCTACGTTCTGAGATATTTGCTACCCAACAGAGAACAGAGAAGTCCACCTCAACTCGCTCAGGCACACCTTCCTTCCAGCCCACTCTTGTTGAACGTGAGCAGCTCAATTTCGTCAAGTGCTCTACTGACGCCCGCTCACTTAGCGACAGAGCGAGCTCGGCCTGTCCCCATTGGTCTTGGAAGCGCTGGGGGCCCCATCGCTTGCGACCTCACCTTCAATTGATCTTGACCACCCTACCTCTTCAGTCAAAACCGCTTTCCTAACTTACGAACTGACTGAGTTTTCTGTTAGAGCTATGGCTACACTTCCCACGTGAATGATGATGATGCGAGCGCAATCGGCCACTTTGCTGGCGCAGACAAGGATTTTAGCGCTAACCTGGACGTTGACAAGGATCTTACCTCGCCTCCAAGTGTTACGGTCAGAGCCATGACGATTTCCGTTCCCTCGGATCGTCCCACCACTGTTCCTCCCTCATAATCCGGTCGCCCCATTTGATTCTTATCATCTTGTAGCCCAGTTTGAACCTCAGCTCGTCAATCAATCTGTTGACCTACGATCACAGGAAATCTCGCTTTTCAACTCAGTATTGATCCTCAAAAACTTTGCTCCTCTGGAGAAAAATATTTTGGTGAAGAATTCATTTGGACCCCCCTTACTGGTCTGGACGAACCGGTGTTTGACATGAAGAATCAAACAATCCCCAACCCGGGTCATTCAGCATCAGATGGTCATAAGATAAATGAGTTATACGATAATTATGTAAATGTGTTTTTCAATCCAAATTTGGTTCGGTAACTCAAGATGAACCTCCCTCTTGCCTCTCTACCTCACCAGGTGTCAAGGACGGCTCGATTTTCCGAAGTTCAGAAACTCGCTTCTTTGCTACATGAACCGTCCCTGCGGGTTCTCGGTCTTTCCTGATTTGAAGATATCCAATGATCCTGACCGATCTCAAAAGAGGGTTTGTGTACTTTTTGGCTGACTTTAAATCTTCTAGTGTTCATAGAGTTATCTGGACGCAGATTTTTGGTAAGATGAAATTGATTTGTGAGGCATGAATCTCGCCGTGTGGGCCGCGTAGGATTTATCGACAATGGTTTCGAGGTCTTCTTGACTGAAGAAGGGATGTTGATTTGATGTTCCTCGAGTTCAGATGCGGTTTTGCGGGCTGATGTACTAGACTCATAGATTGCATGACGAAGTCCACCGAGCCACGAGATCCTTTTGCCGTATTTGAAGCGTTTTTCAGATGTGGGAAGCTCCCAATCGCCTTGTAACGCTCGAATACTTCCTAGAGCCTTATCTCGAACTATGTCGTCTTGGTGAATGGGGTATGCCTCTCCAAGATCTTGAAGGTCTCGTTCCGAAATCGGGTGCCATGATTCGATGGGTGAAAGGACTCGGTCAGGAACGGGAAGTGAAACATTTGAATAAGCCCGAACATAATGAGGCCGGGAAGGCGCTTTGAAAGCCAGAGATTCAACGGCCATTTTCTGAGAAAAGTCTATATCTGATTATGGATGAATCCCATGCGTGAGATTGAAGACTTTCGATCTGTGTGTTAAAAACCGACCTCACAAAGCAGTTTCTTCAGGGGTATTGAATCCGAAGGGGGACTTTGTCATATTGCCGACTTTTTGGGCATGTCGTTTGCCCAGCCGCAGTGGGATATGAATCGCCAAGTCATGTTGCAGAACCTCAGGTACCACACTCCGATTGGTAACCTGACTCGTTATGCAACTCGATCGTGCACTACTTTCGGGTCACGTATCATCCTTGATCGCTTCTTGTGGTGGGAAATGCAATTTACAGCGAATAAGCGCTTTTAAAGCTTGCGGTAACGTAGCTTTGTAGCAATTTCGGAACCGCAGCAGATAAGTCGTGGTAGGACTCTGAACTTCTCCTAGTAAGGGTAGTCACCACCACAAGTGACACTTGAATCTCGGTCTCACTACCTCTCTCTACATACGTCGCCTAGGAACACCTGGCATCCTTTCTCAGAAATTGAGAGTAACCATGGGAGCGTGATGACTCCTAGCTTATATCATCATGCTATGAAGAGGTTTCTCAACTTGCTCAAGCAGGCTCAAATCTAAACCTGAGGAGATTTGGGTCCCCGAATTTTGATCGGTCCCAGCCCCGATGGATGGCTGGGTGTGGATGTCACAATGCCTGTGACATGTCCAAGTGACGATCCCTCCCGAATACCTTCTTGTCCGCTGTGCGCTTCAGCTTTCAACACCTCTGATCCAAGGGGATAGCTCGATCGAACTCCACCAAGCAATCATCTCAGAATGACGACCTATCGACCCCCTCGTGCGTACATACCTTTTCTCCAAGAGTGTTCCTTCATTGACACATTTATCCAAATCCAATCTCTACTGCTCAACCATGGCTGGTGCCAACGAAATCGATCGAATGCCACGCACTAGACTACGGCAATACGCAACCGCCGTTGGTAGACCCTGCACCGCTTCCGAATAATTTACCCAAAGTCGATGAGCTGGGTGTCACCTCTGCGCCCCTGAAAAGCGCTTCGTTCTTCCTCGGCTCGTTTTGCAAGCCTTTCACTGGTCAGGCGCCATCCGACACTATATCACGTGCACGTTCCCCTGGAGGAGCTGTTTCATCAATCTATCTGATCAGGAAGGATTTCCTTTCTTTTCCGCAGAGGACTTTATGCTATGTAAGGCAGAAGACGGCAACCCGGAACATTGTTTGAAGGAGGGGCGCCGGGTGACGAGATGCGCCCAGGATGCGTTAGTACACATCATAAGCCCTGCTTAACCATCAAAACTTGCCCAAAATTGACCAAATCTCTGGTGGTGTAGCATCTCGAAAATCAAGTCAAATTGTTTGGATGAATTCAACGCACATTGGCAATGTCTAGAACTCAACAATCAAGTTAGTCTTGTATCCACTATAGAAGAGACGTAGTCTACGTCGACGTCATCAAACTCACTGAAGCTGATTGCTATACGTCGTGACTTTTCACGCCATCCTTAATTTTGCTCTCAGAAATTGGAGGACTGTCGAAAACGTGAAAAAACATTCAACACATGCCTCTATGACAAACTGGTACGTTTTACCCATCGAAAATGAGGCGTATGGTAAAACGTTGATATACTTCCATTCAATCACTGGTACATAGCAATGGAAAAAGGAAATCCCAGGAGCTCCTTCTGGTGAAGAACCTGTTCATGAAAAGAAAAATCCCATATACGGTCGTAAGCAGCGGTGAAAGATCGATGTATTCTGATATTTGCTATACGGGTCGCCTTGGATCCAAATCCTTTGCTGGGGAAAGAGTGCCCACAGGCAAGTATTGAGGTTGTTCCAATGCGAAACACCGACTTTCTCATTAGAGGAAATTCCTAGTGGCAATTCAATTGTTTCATCACTTTGTGATTTCCTGATTGTGGAAATTGCCAGACTTAGCCAGCAGTGACAGGCATAACGTTGGAGAAGCTAAACAGGAGTTAATTAAACCAAGTCCCCTGAGCTCAAAGCAAGATGTGGTGCATTTCATGAACACACGATCATATCTCATTTGATGTCCTTCAACTTCCCTGTGTTCCAGATTGGTAAACAGAGTGCTTGCCGTGTAAGACTTTGCTACTCCTGTAACAAGTTTTACATCCTCAGAAAGTTGCCTAAAGGTTTTTGATAGGTCTTGATAATCTTCCTGGGTCTATGTGACCAATGTAGGTAACCAATGCACACAAGCAAAGACAAGATGTGCTGGGGGCAGGGTTTTCTGGTTGTGGGGTGATTAGTCTTGTTGTTCTTTCCGACATTATCATGCAGCTGTTCCCCCTTGCCATTTACATATTTGATGTATAAAGATATTGTTCAATGCTATGAGTGATACCAACCTTGCCTCAAAAAGCTTTGTCCCCTACTTCTCACCTGAACCAATTTCACTCCAACCAGCATTTACCTAAACAAATCTTTTTACAGTCAATGACAGGCTCAATAAAACCATCTGTGCAGGCCCTGATCTACCAAAAAATCTGGATGATTCATTTTGCTGAATATAAAAAGGATGTTTTTTTTTTTCACTCTTTGCAACATGTAACAAAGGATTAGATGTGGTGGTATTAATGAGAGAGTCAAGAGTTTTTGGAATGATTTTATTATGTAAAAGGTCTGTCCCCTAATCATGTTTTTTTTTTCCCTCTCTCTCTCTCTAGCACTGTTGACCTAAGGTGCATTCCAGAATTCTTAACAATGTGGAACACACAAAATGTGGGGTATATATTGTAGTAGTATTACTAACCAGGTTTTTTTTTTTTTTTTCAACCCTAAAAGTTGGCTGAGCCCTCTCAAAAATTAATTTTATCTAGTTTTAACATCCCAATTATAAGATGTAAAAAAAAAAAACCTTTTGAAATTATAGGCTTAAACAGATTTTTTCTTTCCTTCTTTTTTTCAAGGTCAAAAAGCTCAACATGGTGTGTTTTAATCAGGTCATCAAGTGATCAGAATTTTTTTTTTTTTTTTTTGTAGGATTAGGGAAAGAGAGAATTAGTGAAAAGAATTTTCTGTCCAATGTAAAGTTTTTGAAAATATTGATAAGTGTCGGGGTAATTCAGAATTGGTAGAAAAAAAAAAAAAAAAAAAAGGGGGAGGACTGAAAGTATAATCAATTAAGAGGCCATAGCCCTATCTTCAAACATAGCATCTGAACTCAACTTTGTGATATGGATTAGCTTTTCAATTACAAAATTGAGAATTATACCATATCAAATTTTGCAAAAAAAAAAGAAAAAATAAATTACTTTCTTTTCATCTGCAGTATCCAAAACACCTAAAGGAAATCCTGAAGAGTACAACAAAAAGCACCAACTTGCCACATTTTCTTCTACACAACCAACTACTTCCTTTTTTCACATTTTTTTTTTTTTTTTTTTTTTTTGGAAAAGACATGAAAAAGAAAGGAAACTCTCTGTCCGGGAATCGAACCCGGGTCGCCCGCGTGACAAGCGGGTATACTGACCGCTATACTAACAAAGAGTGATGACATCATGTGCAAAATGGTCTTACAAAACCTGATGCGACAAGCCGTCGCACTGGTTGTCGCAGGTCTGGCGATATCTCTCCATTTTTCTCACTGTCGCACTAAGGGTCCGTTTGGCAACCAACTCCAAACTTGAATTAACTTCAAACACGAATGACTTCTCAACGTGTGAGAAGTCATTCTGCCCAAGTTCGGGGCTGATTCGG